GGAGGGGCGATTTTGGCGGACGGTGGCAGGTCTCGACGTCCTTGATCGACGGCTTCCCGGGTGGCGAGCGACGAGACGAGCGCATCCTTGCCCATCATCGACAGCAGCCCAAGGCGGTGTTGGAGAGCGGTGCCGCCACCTGACGGCGACGGCGGTTGCTGTTGCTCATCCATGAAGCGCACTCGGTCGCCGCGCGTACGGCCATGTAACCTGGTTTCCTTCTCGCCCAACTCTCTGACGGCTCGCTGTGAAAGCGGCGGGTGATGGGGAGCGGGAGCGGTGGCGCTTGCGTGCGGTGGACGGGGCGGCGTGGCTGCGGTGGACAGCGGTGCACTCGAGGACGCCGTGGATATCGGCGACGGAGCTCCGGACCCTGTGAAGATCGACGGAGAAGCTGGCGGCGGTGAAGCGGGCGGCTGCGTAGCGGTAGTCGCTGTGGGCGGGGTGTGGGTGTACGTCCGCGATGTCCATGGCGGTGGCGGTGCGGCAGCGGCTGTAGGAGCGGCGGCGGCCGGCGAGGGCGCCGCGGTGACCGAAGAACCCCCCCCGCTGGCCGGTACCGGCGCCGGCACGGCGGTGCGGCGGTTGATCCACACGACGTTGTTGGACAGGCAGATCCTTCCGGTGTCGGCGCGGAGTACGACGGCAGTGGCGTCGGAGTGGTTGCGCGCTCCGTGCAGGTAGAAGCAACGAACGGATTGGACGTCCGCCTTGCTGGCGCGCTTCACGCGCATCATCCCCTCCTGGAAAAAGGGGACGACCTTGAGCGGCGGTTTGCGTCCGAAGAAGGCCTCGAACGGCGACATCCAGGCCGGGTTGGCCGACGTCGCGGAACGGTTGAAGCAGCCGGAGGCCCAGATCGCCGATGCAAGCCACAGTCGGTGTCCGTTGGCGTCCATACCGGGGATAGAGGCGAGGTCGAAGTTGCCCACGGAGAGGACGTGGCGGCGGGCGGCGTGGCCCCCCTTCATGGCTCGCCAGATGGCGCTTTCCACGACCGCATTTTGCTTGGGGGTGTCGGGCGCGGTGTACTCGCGCCGGATGCCAGCGGCGTCGCAGAACGCGACGAAGGCAGCACTCGTGAACTCCCCCGCGTTGTCCATGCGGAAACACCCCAGAGGGCCGTTGCCGTTCAGGTCGGCGAGGAAACGCCGCGTGTACGTCAGGGTGTCGCTCTTGGCCCGCATGCCGTACGCCCGTTGCCACCGCGACGCACTGTCCACGAACATAATCAGGTAACGGGAACCATCGAACGCCTCAGAGTACGGGCCGGTGATGTCGATGTGCACCTTGCCGAACGGTACCGCCGCGCGGGTGACTCCACGCCGCGGCACCGGGGCCCTCCTGCCCTTCGCCTCGATGCAGCCGACGCATGGCTGCAGTTCCCCCACCAATTGAACACCCTGCTGCTTGGCGGTTTCCCGCATCAAAAATTCATTCACGTGGCCGGTGGAAGCATGGAACAAAAANCACCCTGCTGCTTGGCGGTTTCCCGCATCAAAAATTCATTCACGTGGCCGGTGGAAGCGTGGAACAAATTAATGTCGATGGTGGACGTGGGTTTTCCTACAGTGAACGCTGGACCACCGGGGGCGATAATCGCCAAAGCATGGGAAAGGGAGGGGGGACCTACATCTTGCTTCACACGGCACTCGGCAACGAAGTTTTTGAGCGCGTCCAACTCATCTTGCATCACAGCGAACGCAACGGGGGGCTTCACGGACTCACACACGCCTAATGGGTCGGGATAAAAGTCACCCGGTGGGACCGAGTCTTGTCCATTCATAGCCTACATCCAAGAGCATGCTCATGTCCATCAAAGGCAAATTATCCTGGGACTCGAGGGGCATGGTCTCTATCTCTCGCGACACATTCGGGTTCACGACTGAGGGGGACAGGACGTCGGATGAGGCGATGGCTGCGGCTAGGGCAGGCTGAAAATCTCGGAT